CCAACCTAAGAGTAATAAATTTTTCTCCTTGTTTCAAGTTTAAAAAGAAACTGTAGAAAATAAAAAGTAGAGTTAACAAATCATTGTTAGGGCAGCCTGGGTGGCTCAGCGGTTTAGTGCCGCCTTCGGCCCAGGGCATGATCCTGGAGACCCAGGACTGAGTCCCACGTCGGGCTCCCTGCGTGGAGCCTGCTTCTCCCTCTGCCTGTTATCTCTGCCTCTCTCTCTCTCCTCTCTGTGTTTCTCATGAATAAATAAATAAAATCTAAAAAAAAAAAAAAATCGTTGTTACAATAATACCGCTTTTATAATTGCTGATGTATTTACGTTTATTGAGGTCTTTGGGCATCTTTAAGACTAAAAAGGTCTTTTTCTAGTAGATCTATCACATCTTTTTCAGGGACAATCTCTGTTTTATTTTTTTTCCTTTGAATGGGACATACTTTCCTGTTTCTTTGAATGCCTTGTGATTTTTGTTGTTGAAAACTGGCTATTTGGGATGCCTGGGTGACTCAGTGGTTGAACATCTGCCTTCGGCTCAGGGTGGTCTCGGGGTCCTGGGATTGGGTCCCACATCAGGCTCTCTATGGAGCCTGCTTCTCCTTCTGTCTGTATCTCTGTCTTTCTCTGTGTTTCTCATGAATAAATATATAAATTTTAATTTAAAAAAAAACCTGGATATTTGAATCTAATATGTAACTCTGGAAATCAGGTTCTCGCTCTACCCTACAGTTTGCTGGATTTTGTTCATTGTTTTTGTTCGGGGTTTTATTATTCTTGTAGGCCATCTCAGTGCTAAGGATCAGCCTGAGTTATAAGCGTAAGGTCTTCTCAGGTCTTTTTTGAGCCTGTGCCTTTCCCTGGACATGCACAGACACTTGCTGATTTTCCCCATATATGCAGTTTTGTTTTTTTTTTTTTAAGATTTTATTTATTCACAAGAGACACACACAGAGAGAGAGGCAGAGACATAGGCAGAGGGAAGAGAAGCAGGCTCCATGCAGGGAGCCCAATATGGGACTTGATCCCGGGACTCCGGGATCATACCCTGAGCCAAAGGCAGACGCTCAACCACTGAGCCACCCAGGGGTCCCTATGCAGTTGCTTTTGGATGTTGTAGTCTTTAGTATCTAATTCCCAAAAGAAGAAGAAGAGAAAAATGAAGGGTTAGGGAAAAAATGGGCATTGGTCCTTTAAATCTTCTGGAAGTCATTCAGCTGGAGGAAGAGGGGCTTGCTGCAGTGAGTGGAGGTACGGTAACAGTGGCCACCCTGCTCTGGTCTACTCTCTGTGAACAGAAACATCAGTGATGAGAGCACAGATCCTTGACATTTGGAGAATGGGGTCCTTTTTGTCTGCTCTCCTTCCCACAAGTTGTGTGCATGCTGCTCCAGGATCGTGTGCAGAGCTACCAGCCCCATGAGAAGGGGTGGGGAGATGGGTAGCTATTAAGAGCCGAAATTGACCAAAATGAACCACAGTTTACAATCCAAACCTTCACTAGGCTCTAGATTTCCAATAATTATAACAGACATTCTGCCATTGCCGTATTATTTAGGTGGGCCTACAGATTTCTGGTGCTTCCTAACTCTTCCATCTTCCCAGAATCCTCCACTCCCACTCTGATTTTAAATTCTTGTGATCTTGTAGTACCTGGGTGGCTCAGTCATTTAAGCATCCAACTCTTGATTTTGGCTCGGGTCTCCATCTCAGGGTTGTAAGATTGAGTGCTCCATGCCGAGCATGGAGCCTGCTTAAGACTCTCTCTCTCCCCCTCACTCCCTCTCTCCTTCCCTGTCTAAAAATAAAGTTCTTGTGATCCTTTTTTTTTTTAAGATTTTATTTTAGTTATATATTTATTAGAGAGGAAGAGAGCACCCAAGCACATGAGTAGGGCAGAGGGAGAAACAGACTCCCCGCTGAGCAGAGAGCCCCATGCAGGCCTCAATCCCCAGACCCCAGGATCATGACCCGAGCCAAAGGCAGACACTTAACTGACTGAGCCACCCAGGCACCCCAGTTCTTGTGATCCTGAGATATTTTATTTTATTTTATTTTTTTCTGAGATATTTTATGACTGTATGTACAATCATTTGTCCCCACCCCCACTTACACAGAGTTCCATTTTATTTTAGAGGCCTTTCCTTATTAGTATATAGATCTGCAGTATCCTTTTCTCTTTTAATAATTTTCCATTACTCAAAATTAACAGCTATTAACAGTCACGTTTGTTTCCAATTTTTTTTTTTAAATATTGTAAATTAAGCTCACACACTTGTAACCATAACCACATCTTCCCTCCTCTCGCAGTCCCCTGGCCAAAGACAATCACTGTGATAAGTTTGCTACTGTATCTTTTTAGGCTACTTCCTATACTACTAAATACACCCACAACACTATATAATGCATGCCCAACACATTGCCAATCTACTTTCTACATACACATACCACACTATAACACACATACACAAAATACCATGTATTGTTACCTGCATGTCTATGAGAGTCACAATATATAGACATTTCTCTATGCATAGTATCACAAAGCTGGTAAGATATTAGGCCCTAGAGCCTGGCCGGCTGGGTTTGGTTTCTGACTTTTTAGCTTAGCCTTAGGCTAATTAGCCTCTCTGTACTTCTTTGTTCCTCTGTAAAATAAAACAAAAGGACTTACCTCATTGAGTTGTTACAGAGATTAAATGAGACATTCTCTGTATAGTACTTAAAATGCATACTATATACTCAACAAATGTTAGCATGATGATTTTGACCTTGTCCTCTCTTTTTAACTGTTGTTTGGTATTCCTTTATATTAATGAGCCATATCCATTTCCCTTTTGGGAACATTCAGTTTATTTCTAGTTTTTCACAATTACAAACTGTAGCAGTGTTCATGGCTCCATATATACAGTGTTGTGAGAGTTTTCTGTAGGCAGGAGCACTGGTTCATTTGTTGGTTTGTTTTGGTAGATGATATATATAGTTTGGATCAATTCAGTTGGTCTGAAATAGGTCAGGATAGGAATACTTAAATTTTTCAGGCACTTGTCACTTGCACCCAGGGTATCAAACCATTGCTCTCTGTGCATACCTAAAAGGGAAATTGCTGGGTGATGAAAGGGTATGAGCATTTTAATTTTTCCCAGGTGTGAGTGTGCTGATTTGGGCACACCTTTAATGACACAGTGTTAAACAATTTATTAACATTGTCTTCAGTGGTTTCGACTGCATTTGACTTAAGTTAGGCTGAGCATCTTTTCATTTTTATGAACTAAAATGTTTTAATTTGGGTTTATACTAAAATCTCTTTTCCACATTATTAAGTTCTGCAAGTTATAATATATTGCAAGAAACACTGGTCCATGTAAGAAATCTTTATTTTTAGGGGTATTTTGATATATTTTAGGTTGAGAATTAAGAAGTGTCCTAGGGATACTGGGGCCTTCTCTTTATTTGCATAGATTATAATTGTTTTGTAATATTGCAAAGTTTGACAAAGCCAATAAAACTACCTCTAGACCTGCACTGTCCAAGAGGGCACCCACTAGCCACATATGGCCATTAAATACTTGAGTGTGGCCAATCTAAAGTATGCCACATTTATAGCGTATAAATATACAAAATAGTTTTCAGTGCCTTAGTACAAAAAAGAATATAAAGTATCCCATTAATAACTTTTTTACATTACATAATGAAACGATAATATTTTTGGTATGTTGGGTTAAATAAAATATTAAAATTTCACCCTTTTTGATATGATTACTAGAAAATTTGAAATAACATACATAGCTTGCATTTTCTTTCTTCTAGACAGTGCTACTCTAGGTTGACTTTATAAAATACCTTGCAAAAAAAAAATACCTTGCATAAGTTGTAATTCTAGAGCCAAGTTGATGGTGGGTAATGTGCATACTTTGTACAAAATATCGCTCTAAAATGGTTTTGAAATTAAATTTCATGAAAGCCAGAATGAACAGATAGTCACCAGTTATCAGTTTGCTCACCCTGTGATCCTTCTGATAGCTGCACTTCACAAGTATAAAATCCTACCAGGAGAGGGGTAGTGAAGAGGAATGTACTAGTTACATGACTTTTTTAGAAAGTGGCGGGGATCCCTGGGTGGCGCAGCGGTTTGGCGCCTGCCTTTGGCCCAGGGCGCGATCCTGGAGACCCGGGATCGAATCCCACGTCAGGCTCCCGGTGCATGGAGCCTGTTTCTCCCTCTGCCTGTGTCTCTGCCTCTCTCTCTCTCTGTATGACTATTGTAAATAAAAAAAAAAAAAAAAAAAAAAAAAAATTTAAAAAAAAGAAAAAAAAAAAAAAGAAAGTGGCAGGAATTTTTTTATTTTCCCAATATCCTTCATAGTAAGACACCCTACCCTGTGTGTAAACTTTTAGGGCAAGGACCAGGTCTTCTTATTTGTATTTCTGCATATAATTGGTGCCTATTAAATGCTGATAGATTTGAATCTCAGCTTTGATTTCTGAGCAAGAGAATTTCTGAAGCACCATGATGCTTTGTCCTTTGTGATGGGGACTCTGCTACTGGTCTATTGTAGTTCACCCCGATAGATATTTTAAATGAGATCAACTAAGATAGTGATAGACATAGTTTCAATTCCCATGTCAACTGTTAAAGGAAACAAGGCCATGGAGGTCCAAAGGAATTTTAAGACAAGTTTAGAAACTGGACTGTGGAAATGTTCCTCAGCACTTCCACATGGCCATACCTGTAGTTCTCACCAGTGTACTTCAGGAAGCACTTCCCATCATACCCCTGACAGGCCCATTACTGACCTGAATATAGGGCTCAAAGGAACGAGAACATCACACTTCTCTAATACTCAGAAGTAAAGCTCAGAAGAGCTGTCTTTTTGAAAAGTGGAGAAGAGAAGTAAGTCATTGGGTGATAAGTAGTAAACCATACCTAAGATGCTTAACCTATTAGAGTTTCTCAGTTTGAACTATTACCTATGAAGACTTCTTTGGTGTCTCTTTAGGGGCAAGCTGTGTGTGATTGATTGGAAGACATCGGAGAAACCGAAACCTTATATTCGAAATACATTTGACAACCCACTGCAGGTTGTAGCCTATATTGGTGCCATAAATAATGATGCCAACTACAGCTTTCAGGTCAGGACAATGAACCTCTACCTATGTAAAGCTTTGCTTGATGCTTATTTATGGCTACTTAACTCCTTGTGATTTTTTTTTAAAGATTTATTTATTTATTCATGAGAAACAGAGAGAGGGAGAAGCAGAGACACAGGCAGAGGGAGAAGCAGGATCCATGCAGGGAGCCTGAAGCGGGACTCAATCCTGGGTCTCCAGGATCACACCCTGGGCTGAAGGCAGCGCTAAACCGCTGAGCCACCGGGGCTGCCCACTCCTTGTGATTTTTATTGTTTGTGTCCCACTGCTTACTGTTCCTTGTCTTTCTACCACCTTAAAAAGCACTTCTCCCTGTTGTGAGCCTTCTGTCATTGCTAATAGTGCTTTAGTGTTTATAGTCCAATCTTCAATATCTTCCTTGTCATCTTATATATGTTCTTATATATCCTGGTGTCCCTTGTCATCAATCCCTCTTAGAAACAGTCAGGAGATATTACTGTAGATTGTTTTGTTCTGAGTTTGCCCCAGAGGAAGAAGGAAATGAACCTCAACTCTGATCCTACTATATAAATATTGGAACTGCGCTGTGTTTCTTCCTAGGTTCAGTGTGGCTTAATTGTGGTGGCCTACAAAGATGGATCTCCTGCCCACCCACATTTCATGGACACTGAGCTCTGTTCCCAGTACTGGGCCAAGTGGCTTCTTCGACTAGAGGAATATACACAGAACGAAAAGAACCAGAATATTCAGAAACCAGATCAGGGGACAGAGTGATGTTTGGGAAGCTCTATTGCTGTTTACTATAGAGATGCCACAGGATCTGAGAGCTACAAGTGGAAGTATTTGTTGAAATGTATTACAACTAAAAAGTTCGAAAGCCAGAAAAGTTTAGATCTTAAGGATTGGACTTGGGCACAGGAAAGAAGCACAAGTAGGCAACGTCTATCATTTACCTGGAAAAGGGCAAGCAGGCACTGGTGGCTCTGGGACTCCCCCTTAGAAGTTTCTGTATCCCAAGCAGGATGCTCAGTCCTTGAATTGAGATTGGAGGGTGGGAGGTTTGGCATGCAAGGAGTTCCCCAGGGCACCCCAGGAGGGAAGGGTCTGCACACCCCCAGGCTATGTATAGAGGGAGAACATAGGCCAACTCCTTCTGTCAATGTGGTTTCCTAAAACTAGTTTTATTATGTTGAAGTTTTCTATATATTTGGGGAAGGGGGAAATTTTCATTTAACATTTTTGAAAAAATTCATTTTTTTCATATTTAATGTGATTCTTTAGCCTTAAGTAAACATTGTTCTCTGGAAAAATGGAGCATTTTCACGTGGTTGACAATCCCCTTAGCATATCAGTAAATAACCCCCAAGAGTAGCCAGACCCCAGTCTTGAGATTCATAATTATGGATATTTTAGTAGCTCTATTCTGGTTTGAGTCCATGAGCCATGTACATAAAGTAAAAGTATCATTTGTGAGATTCTTCAGCTAGGGGGAGCAATAATTTTTTGTGTTTTTGGTAAGTAATAAAAAGTATTAGTTGTCACTGAGATGCCCACAATAAATCCCCACTATAGCTTTGGGGAAAGACTCCCTGTTTTATGGAATGGGATAGCATTTAAGTTACAGTGTGGTCTTAGAATACTAGGGTGCTACAATTAATTTTTTCTTTAATTAGCTATTATAAGAAATAAAATACAAGATGTGAGTAAAGTAATGAGGCTTTGGTTCTGTTTCTTTTTTATTTGGATTTGTTACATATAGAGTGATCCCATAAACCTGGAAATTGTTTACATTTTATATTTAGAAGTTGAGAATTCACAGTTTTGCCACTGGCCCAGGAGCATTGGTGTGTGTTCTACATAAGCACATACAAGAAGAAGGCATCCTCCACCAGGGTCACCTGGCAAGGAAAGTTAAGGTTCAGGTGGGAGGGAGGATTATGGGGGACCTTTTACTGACTGTACACCTCTGCATTCTCTTCAAGCAGCAGGTACTCATGTAGCCTGTAATTTCCAAAGTCAGAAATCAAGTGAGATCATTAAAAGTTGCAACAGCAGATTTTTCCACACTGCTTTTAATAAGCCCCCCTCCAGAATTTAGGAGACTAGGCTCCGCAAGACTGCATTTTAATACAGTTCTCTAGGGTTCATATAAATGCACCTTGGACCTGTCACTTTGTACCTACTCTTCCAAGCTAATGGCATGAGGAGTTCCATGTAAGACCCTCAGAGTCTGACCAGGCAGACAGGGTTGTATGAGAACAACCAGAGTTAATCCCTGGGCAGGCTTCTCAGAGACAGAAACACACCAGTTTCTCACTATAATCTTGACATTCCTTGGATCTCACCAATTAGAGAAATCTCAATCCTCTTAAGAGGGAAATGTCAATGAAAAGTTATTTTCCCTAGAAAGGCATAGGAGGAGAAAGCCAAATCTGAGTTTCTAAGTGAGACAACTTTTCAAGAATTACCAGGTATGTTACTAAATTGTGGGTACCACTTTTTCCCCCTAAGTGATATGGCATATTAAACTCCAGTGAAATGAAACAAGATTTATGTAAGGAGGGATTCTCTAAAATAATTTTTTAAAATTTTGAGAGAGAGCACAAGAGGGAGGAGGCCACAGGGGGAGGGAGAAGCCGACTCCCCACTGAGCATGGAGCCTAACATGGAGTTCGAACCTAGGAATCCAAGATCATGACCTGAGCCAAAGTCAGATGCTTAACTGAGCCACCCAGATGCCTCCAAAAATTTTTTAAAAGGAGGTAGAAATTGCTTTTGTGGAGGAGGCTCCCTCACAGTATAGGACATAGTATTACCATTTTGGGCTTTGAGACAATCCATTAAGTTCAAAGCTATCCACATACCCTTTTCCTCTGCAGTTCTACATTCTTAGTGCATTCAGCAGCTGACAAAAGCTCCATGCCAGCCAGCACTAAAAACCAATTTTCGATTTTATACGAAAAACTTAACACCTTCTGCCCTCCCATCCTCACCCCCAGACCTGGCCTCTTGCTCAGAGCCATTATCTCCTTTTAATCTAAGAGCATTAACCTCTATAAACCTATTATAGTTCTAGGAAAACTTGTCAGCGTATGACCTCTGGTTTCATATGTGTTGACTCTAGTAAATACAGGAAGAGAGTTGGTTATGTCATTGTGCTTCTAGGTAACCAATTTGCCTACCGGCTTTAAATGGAATTGGAGAGGGGTAATTTGTTTGAATCACCGTGTCTTTCCACCTGAACAATTACACATTTGATTATAACCTGCCTTCCCCTCCTGCACAACACGCAAAAAAAGTGAAGCAAGGGAATAGTCGGAACTTTACCTGAAAAGAAACACTTCATTGTTTGGAGCTGGTGCCCTACGGAGAACCACTGTCTTAAATCAATCACTAAGCACAAGGCAGAACTGACTCTCCCTGTCTCTCTCCCCCTACCTTCTCTCCAGCCTCAGAGGCCCACTGGTTTGCCTGCAGTAGGAAGTTTGATGTAGGGAACCTCGAGTGATAGACACTGTAAGCAGGAGCTTGAGAAAAGTGCTTTGAGGAGATGCCCCTGATGGAGGAAACATTTGATGGTTGCTTGACAATAAGAGTTGCCAGGTTTGAGGAATGCACTTATGAGGATCCAGTCATAAAATGATATTCTGTATTAGATTAGGGTTGGAGCTTTTACCTTTTTGCCAAAGAGACAGGTATATGACAATCATACAGATAAAAGCCCTTGTCTGTTGTTTGCTGTGTCCTATTTCCCTCACCCCTGAGACACCATCATAAATTTGGTATGTATCTTTCCAGTGTATCCTTTTATAGTTTTACTTTTGCTGGTCTCCATGAATAATATACAGTTTGCTTCCTTTTTTATTTTTGCTTGCTTTACTTTATCTCAACATTTGTTTCTGCCGGTTGACCACTTCTAGATCTAGTGCATGGCTTTAAACTGCTCTGCAGTATTCCCTCAGGTTTTCCTGTCTCACTAATACAGTTAGGCTAACACTGTTTTGCAACTACAGACACTGCTGCAGGGAGCACCCTCGTGTGTGTGTGTGTGTGTGTGTGTGTGTGTGTGTGTGTGTGTGTGTGTGTGGTGTGTCCAGGTGTACACGAGGCATGTGCAATATAGTGGAAGCAGGGTGAGCACTGGGGCTCCTTCACTTAAGAGCTCTGTAACCTTGGTCAAGGTGCCTGACCTTTGTGTGCAAATTGGAAGGGAAATAATTGTACCTGCTGAGAGCTGGGAGGATTAGATGAGGTAAACACTTAGAGCAGGTCCTGGCACATAGTTGGAACAAATGGTTAGCCACCATCATCATTCTCAGATGATCAAATCCAGACCTGTCGGGGCTGGGTCACACTGTGCACAGCGTAAATGTTACTACGAAATTCCTCCAAAATGGTGCTATCAACTAAGGCTTCCACCAATGCTTTCTGAAATTCCCTGCTTTCCCACATACTCACTGACACAAGAGTTTTAAGACTTTTTTTCCATCAACATGATGGGGTGAAAACAGTTACAGCTTTATTGCTTGAATAAAATTTGCTTTAAAACGGGATTGCCATCTAGCGGTAGGAAAAGTAGACTGCTCTTACATGGCACAAGCCAAACCCGGTGGACCTACATGTATCTTGGCATAATCTGGGCATTCGAGTCACTACCTCAGGTTTGGTTGCCCATAAGTCCCCTGTGTAGAGGTTTTTCTATTATCTTCCCCATTTTTAAGCAGCTTGTGATTTTCTCCTCATTTTCTCCAGCGTGGCAACATGGAGACCTGTCTGTACAGCCTCCTGTGTGTGGCCTCCCAGTGGAATGAATCTGGGTCACTGGCTCAGAAAAGAGGAGTGAGATAAATTAGGAACGGGGCTATTTACAAACTGGCAGGAGACTGTGGCTCCCAGCAGGGCGGGCTTTCCTCGAGTGAATGATCCCAACTCCCCAGTGGAGAGGTGGTCAAGTGCCTGCATCAGCCACGTTCCCTCAAACCTCCACAGAGGTCTGAGCAGAGTCCCAGTGAATGTCCTTCCAAATCAGGGGCTTGGACTGTCTGCTGTGAAGACTTAAAATCATAGTCTACAAAGATTTAAAAGTACATGACAGTGTTAGATGTTAATCATCAGAGACGTAGGTATATTTTTAAAGATCTGTACAAAACTGTTCCGTGAAAGAGAAAGAGGTATAAATAAAGCTATATTATTGGAAAGCTTATACATCATGTGTTTAATTAAGTACTGTTACTAAACTAATGGGATATTAAAAATTAAAGAAAAGTCTCAGTAAAAACAAGCAAAAGTCAGCTGTGATTAGAACACCGACTCAGGAGTGCCTGGGTGGCTTAGTTCGTTAAATATCTGCCTTTGGCTCATGTCATGATCCCAGAGTCCTGGGATGAGACCCATGTTGAGCTCCCTGCTCAGGGGGGAGCCTGCTTCTCCCCCTGCCCCTACCCCGCAACTTGTGTGCACATACTCTTTCTGTCTCAAATAAAATAAAATCTTAAAAAAAGAAAAGAGGGTAGCCTGGGTGGCTCAGTGGTATAGCGCCGCCTTCAGCCCAGGGCGTGATCCTGGAGGCCCAGGACTGAGTCCCACGTTGGGCTCCCTGCACAGAGCCACAGAGCCCGCTTCTCCCTCTGCCGCGCTCTGTGTGTGTGTGTGTGTGTGTGTGTGTGTCTCATGAATAAATAAATAAAATCTTTAAATAAATAAATAAGAAGCCCACTCAGGCTGATCTGACTGTCCCTCAGCACCAGGCTCATGCCCATTTCTAAGCTATTATTCGTGTGCCTTTGCCTAAAATAACTTCCCTTCGTCCCTTTGTTCAGCCAGATCTTAGTTTTCTAGTGCTTGGGCCTGAACCCCAGTCCTCCCTCAAGTCTTACCAACAGGAAAGGAGATGGTGTAGTGTAGAAGGCACGAGTCTCAGAAGCAGGCAGACCTTGAATCCGGCCTGCTGCCTGTTTCTGTACAATCTGAGCTAACACTTGTTTTCACATGTTGAAATGGTTGAAAAAAGTTAAAAGTAGACTATTCAGTGACACAAGAAAATTACAAAAATTCTAATTTCAGTATCTAAAGTATGATTAGAGCATGGCGTCACCCACTTGTTTGCATATTGTCTCCGGCTGCAGAGTTAAGTGATTGCAACAAAGGCTGTAGGACCCGCAAAGCCTAAAATATTTGCTATCTGAACTTGTTCAGAAAAAATTGGCCAACTCCTGGTCCGGATGAGAGCTGAGGGTGGCTTGGGCAAGAGAGGTGGCAGGAGATGCTGGTCAAGAGCCAGGTCTGAGATGTGGCTGAGAGGGGGCCCTGCCTGGCTGTTTGATGAGTAGGATGAGGAAAAGGTAGGTACAGAGGTAACTCCTTGGTTCGGGGCTTGAGCAGGTGGGTGTTACCTGCTGGAATGGGAAAGACAACTGAGAGAACAAACCAGGCAAAATCCTAGCTCTTCCCCTTGCTTACGTGACCAGCTAGTTTTGCTGTGTTACAAATCACCCCCACATTAGTGGCTTAAAACTTACTTCTCATGAGTCCAAGGACAGGCTCTGCACTTCTGGAGTGTGTGGGGGACTCAGCTGGGGCAAGATGATCTGGGATGGCCCACAGTTAGCTCAGCACCAGCTGGAGCCATGGAGATGCCTGGCCCCGAGTCTCCTGTCCTCCACAGGCTAGCCTGGCTCGCTCAGAAGGCAGTGGTGGAAGGGTTCCC